CTTTAACCCCCAGAAAAATACGGTAATTTGGGACCTCTCGATCAAGAGGATTAAAGCGTAGAAATGACATTGGCTTTCTCTGCGTTACAGAGTTCTTAACACAGGATTTGGTAATAGTTTGGACGACATTAAAAGCTGGTGACAGCTCTACAGACATCGCCTTTGCTGCGGCCTATTTCCCAGGCGACAACAGCGACATTAATTCCGACGTTCCCGCGACTTCCGTTTGTCCTCGGCTTTTGATGCAAAGGCCCACAATGTGGAGTACGGATGTACAGAAACGAGTATCCATTAGTATCCATAATGTTGGCCTTAAGCCAAAATTTCTTACCAGAGCCAGAGAGGAAGTTCTTAAAATTACCATTAGGAAATTGAAATTGAATTGAAAAGATCGATCTCCGGCCGATGGGTCGCGAAGAGCCTTCCATATCTGACCACAGAATTATTCGGTTGACGATAGGGGCTAAAGTTAGGAAGGGTCGCCCCAAAGGAAAAGCCTGCAATACATACTGGAATTAATGCTTTTAATTCCAGTTGTCGTGAGAGGTAAGAAAAAAATAGAAAGCCAAAATAATCGGCAATAGAACATTCTGTGAGGATATATCACCTACCTCTGCAGGGCAAGGACTGCACAAAGCATTAGCAAGAGTTATTAGGCAAGCGATTAGGACACCAAATTGTTCCTATAAAGAGAGCAAAGATGGCCTTTGCCCTGCTTTTTGCCCGCATTCCGGATGCCGCTCCCGTTAAACAAATTACTGATGTCCTCAAGTACAGACCCCCTCCACCAGACTGGGTGGTGACAAAGAACCAATTCAATCTGCGATTGACTGGATGGGCGTTACCGCAACCCGGAGATACCTCGCCCAACTGCAAACCAAGCATTGCGTCAACCCCGTTGTAAGTGCTCCTCGATAAGCCATCACTGATAACAGGCAGGCAAGCGGACTGTCTTAAACTTTGCAAGAGATGGTTGTGGAAGAGGTAAGGCTCTAACGACTGGAAATATGGAGAGGCTAGAACCCCAGCTCTCACTAGCCCTTTTCCCAGGGATGACATAAATAAGGTAGCAAATTCAAAACAGAGTTCTGCAACAAGGCAATCTGGAGCAACTCCATCATGGAGGGGCATGTAGAGGCTAATTGTGACCATGGGATTCCCGAGTATCTTTCAAGCGGAGGTGTACACTAACAACCAGTGGGCAGAAATTAACTTACTTACGTAGACGTTACTGGAATGAAATAATTCTAATCCTTAGCGACAGTCAGGCAGCGCTCAAGGCACTGCCGTCATTCGAGGTAAAATCATCCTTAGTCCTGCCCTAGCTGAATATAATGACATACAATGTGTCCAAATAGAGAGAGAGAGAGACCACATGCACTCCTTACCTTCAAATGCTCTCCTGTATTTTAATGGGTCATTGGGAATAAAAAATGTACTGTGGTGATTGCATACCTCTTCAATTTATATCTATTTATGTATAAATTATTATTGTTTTTTCATAAATAGTTTCAATAAAAAACGGCCTCAAACTTAATTAAATCTTTGAAAATATTTTATTTAAGTTTTTAAGAATGGAATAAATTTTTGATTTAATTTAAATGTTGTTTACATACATATGTATTTCAGATCTAAACTTAAACATAAATGTCGTTCGTTGTCGTCTTAAAAATTATAACTTATTTACTTACATACATATATGTATAAATGTCATAAATAAAATTAGTGGAATTTAAGTTTCTGCATTTCTCATCTAAAGTATGCAATACTTAATACTTTTGGTGTTGTATTTACTATATAATAATTCGTAAGTGGACGTTTTAGTTGTAAAAATGGCAAATGCAAGCACTTGTGTATATTTTGCTTCCTGAATTTCAAATGTCATGCGCATAATTGACTGGTTTATTTTCATTTAGAAAATTAAGTCATAATCAGACTCGCTCCGAACGTGTGCGACGTGTTTGTACAATGTTCACTACACATACAATAATCCAAAAGAATATAGTCAACCAACTGCATATGAGTGTCATGTAAAGGCATGCTCCAGTATTGATGCGCCCATATTTACGCCGCTCATAGGAAATGGTCTCCACCAAGTAGTCCATGAAATCGAAGATTGCCCCGCAAGACAATCGACCCTTTATAACAGGCACAATATTGCCAGCTCCTTGAATGTCTTTGACCAATGATTCGCTATACTGTTTGCAAGTGATGCGAAAGCCATCCGTATAGATCGATGCATAGATTAAGGTGTAAACGGTCATGACACAAGAGATGACAGCAGCGGGTGTCCAGTAATAGGGCGATATTCCATTATGTGTTAACTCTGATTCGGCAGTCACCACAATCATGTCACCAGATCTGTGAATATTGTAGATAATAATACATATTAGGTTTAGCTAATGGTGTATAAATATGCACATATTTTTTGTGTGTTCTATGAAAGCTTAAAAGACCTGTCGGAGTATGAGTATACATATGAGCTTCCAAACCAAAGACGAAGGCTGCTTTTACATTCTTTTTTCGCAAATAACTCTTGTTTGATACCAAATTTTTAATACATCGATCAGACCACCCTAATACTTTTACTACTAATGCATATCGTCTTCTTAGGCGGAAACTACACAGGATTTTAGCGCGAAATTTCTATACCATAGGAAGCATGATGCATCGAGTCATTGTGCATTATTTGCTTAAAAACTTCTTTTTTTTTTGTATCATGACAGTCTTTTTGTAAATGAGTGATATGTATGTATGTATGTACCCTTGTGGGCAACTTTTTAATTAAGTTAGTGACATTTTGCCCAGATTTAACAATTTTTTGTTTATTTACTAAACGCTTATAATTTTTTTTTTTTATAAAAGTCAAGCTCATACATACAAGCACCATATAAATCCACATTTCAAACATTCTTTTCAGAATTTACAAAAATCTAGGTTTTGAGTTTTATATTTTGTTATTTTGTTCTCAAAAATTGTGTTTGAAAGCAGATAAATTTTTTGAATTTTTATAATTTTTGCACATAGTTTGAAATGTTCTTTTTTTATAATGAACTAGACTTTTATAAAAAAAAAAAAAATTAATGCGTTAAGAGCCATTTTCTCAAGCTGCATAAAAATCTGCCTTTTAAATAAAAATTCTTTTCTCAAAAATGTGCTTGAATGGCAGATAAATTTTAGAGCAACATGAGAAAAGAAAAATAACCAAAACTGGGCAAAATGTCGCTATTTCAATTAGTTGCTCACAAGTGTATGTATACCTATACAAAATTACACTTAATTGATGTTACCATACTGCCTCGATTATTCAACACTTAAGGCGTCAGCGAAATTTTAAAAAGTGTATCATTTTAAATTGAATTAAACACATACATACATATATATGATTGTATGTCTTTACTTCCACCCACATCTGCAGATCGAAGTGGTTCTTCTGTATACACACATATACGGATGTACATGTGTATGTACATCTGTATGTATGTAGGTAAATAAGTGGGGAGTTTGTTTTGTGGCTATTAACCTTTGACAAAGTTTAAATTAGCAGCCAACGAAGCTGAAATTAAATAGATTAACCAACGAATTTACGAAGTGAATTAATTTAATAGCGTCAATAGTTGCAGCAACAGTCATTAACATAGTCCAATAAAAATTTTCAGTGGTTAGAAAACCAAAAAAAAAGATAGTTTACAAAAATCTTTAAATTGAAATTTCAATAGAGAAAACCGTTAGACAAATATATCCGAAAAAAATTGTGTGCCGATTCCTATCACTCGAATAGTTCACCATATATGTATATATATCGCTAGCTTAGAGTGAAAAGTTGCTAAGTCCTCTTTTTATGAAAACTCATATTTTGATATAGGAGGCTAAAGAAATTGAATACGCATCCTTTCGAAAATTATAAAGGTACTTGGTTTATTTTTTCCTCTTCATAAGCAATAAAAGGAAAATTTGCTAAGTCCAAAAGAAGCACCACAAATCCGATAAGGCCAAAATAATACGACATCTTTTAATAAATATCGAATCCTTCTGATTCTTATGGAATTTTGCTTTGCTTTAACCGCGCAAAATGTTTGATTCAATTTTTTGCGAAATAGTTAAAGAAAATGGCTATGGAAGATTTTTTCCTCTCCTGTAAAGTTTTTAAAATGGGACTTAGCAACTTTTCTTTCTAAGCTAGCGATATATGAAATATGAGTATTTTTCTGCAAAATAATGAACAATTTTCTAAATTCTAATCTTAATTTTATCCTTAATCTAAAATCTGAACCTAAATCTTAATCTTAATCGGGCCCAAAACCGGCCGCCAACCCACCGGTCGCCCTTTCGTTTTATCAGAGTTTGGATTTATAGCCAACCGAGCGTGAAATTTTCACTTCAAACATTTTGAGAATAAAGAGAAAACTAAGGTGACTTCGGTTTTCTAAAAAAATGTTGCCCTTCCACGGTGCAAAATCTGTTTGCAAAAAGGCATGTTTTTGTATTCTTATCCTTGTCTAGCTCACGTATGTATTTCATAAGGTGCGTTCGTTTAAAATCTCCAACAGAAACCAACCAACTGCCA